AGTGGTGTTTTGTGGTTCTAATTTGAACAAATTCTGTTGTGTATCGTCATCGGATAAAATTAAAAGATTTTCACTTAATAACCCGTTATTGTTTGGGACGTCATCTGCAGACAAGGTGTTATCATTTTCAATTACCCAAGGCAGAGCGTCACTACTGTTTAAATTAGGCATACTTTCCGCCTTCATAGTGTTGTTGTACTCAGATAAATTATTTTCATTTAACTGCTTGAAAAAATCATTTTGATCTGCTGAAACTAAAAAATTATCTATAGATAATCCATTTTCATTTGGGCCGTCATCTGTTGATGAAGTAAGTTGTATGTTTGCACTTTCCCACGGCCATGACAAGGTGTTTTGTTCCTCCAGTTTTAGTATATTATCATTATTATTTATAGGCTGAAAAAACCCGTCTTGATCTGATAGAATTAATTGATTCTCCGCAGAGGCGCTATTGAAATCCTCGACTCCATTTGTAGACAAATTATTATCATTCTCTAGCTGCTGCATAAAATGGTTTTGATTTGGTAAAACTGATAAGTTATCTGCAAACATTTCATAATTATTACTGATATCTGCAGTTGAGCTATTATCATTTTTTAATGTCCAAACACTAGCACCATTCTCGCCAGGTACAATATAATAATATCCTGGCATTAAGTTAAGGTTGTCATTATTTAAATCGCTGTCACTGCTCACAGAATTGTATGAACTATCGCCATTCATCTCAACTAAGTTCCAATTGGAGTACTCCGCCGATAATGAGTTAGGCGCATTTTCTAAATAAATAAATTAATAAATAACAATTATTATTCGTAGATAAAAAAAAATTGTTTATTAATTATTAAATTATTAATGTTCTAATCTAATGTGATGCACCAATAAAAATTTTTATGGATAAACAAACACTATTTTCGCCAATATCAAAACTAAAATATTATCTGGCCTTTGGAAGATTCTCTTTTAGTATTGGTAATGCGGTATTATCAGTATGAAATAAAGCTGTCCTATGCTTACAAATCGCAGCTATCCACCATGTGCAAGTCAAAAATATTTATCCTCCATCTTCAATGCAAATTCGAACAACAATTTCATTAGTAGTAAGAGAATTATTTGCCTTCAGCCATATATTTAATGGAGCGCTATTATTTTCCAAAGCACTTCGCAATCATTGCTATTGTTATGTTCAGTCAAAGAGCAGGATATTTCACTCTTGCGTCCATCTACTGCTTTCGTCGCTCATCACATCTCTGCTTCAACTTAGTGTGAACCATATATGGTACGACTTACCACAATTGATGCATTATTCATTGGGTATTTTATTAAGTTTTAAGGAGAATTTTCAAAACTATTGCACTAGTGTCCCGGGTTGCCATCGGTGACGGTTGATCGACCTATATGCCTATATGCTTCGCAACTATTAAAGCAGGCGCATTTTAAAATTTTTTTCACTATTTGAATATTTCAATGCCATCTTGTTTCTATTATAACACCTTTTCTTACCTAAATTTTCATCCATCAAAATTGAATTTATTTCAGAATCCCTTAGCGTACTTTGATTAAAGCTCATTTTGAATAGTGGAACCAAATTTTTGAAACATAAAGCAAATCAAAAATTTTTTATTTTGAATAATATTTAATTCCTATAGTTAACTTTTGAAAGAAAAAGTGTTGCCAAGTAGATGAAAACCTATAATTTTAAAAAATTTCAAAAATTTTCTTTAGCTTTATTATATATCTCTACTTCTGGAAAATTACTTAAGCGTGTAGCATATGCTATCCAACAAATGAAGCACAACGTCTTTATTGAGAATGCAGTATGAGAAGTTTCACTCTTATTGGCCTGTAAATCTTGGAATAAAAAATGATTAATTATTAGTACCAGTTATAGATTATGTTAGATTATAAGATTAGATTAGATTAGATTATTATATTAGAAGTCATATACACATATGTTGTATTATATATATATTAGTTGTTTATATTGACCACGTCATATATAAAAATATTAACAAATAAAAATATATGGTTTATTTTATATAATTAGATTCACTAATCTGTAGTGAATAAAAATAGTCCGTGAATCTAATTTAACAGGTATAGATCAGAGAACTGCAACCAGTATTCAATACTTGAATCATTGACTGTGTTCCAATTATATGCATTCTGACTTTCTTTTTCGTATATTCGACTCCACTTGATTCACGGCACTTATAATGATCTATACTCTGCTCATGTGATACTCATAAGCACCGACATTCGACACAAAGATGATGTAAATGATTTATAAAAGATTCATGAGTATTACGTTGCAGTCGGAAAAAATTTCGAGTCACTCATTTTCGATAAGTATATTCATACTCATTTGAGTATATGCTATGATTCATGAATCGTTTTTCATTTATGCTACTTTACTTAGAAATGTTCTGTGGCACATATAAATGCATATAGGTAGTGTATAAAAAAACTATTTATACGCATTTATATTTGGTTTTTTATGAGCAGTTCTTTGGTATGGATGCATAGTTTATGATTTGTCCACTGAGACCTCACTTATTAGAAAATAAGCACAAAAAATTACTAAGTAATTATATATATATTTTTTAGACTATAAAACATATTAAAATAATTAAACAGTTTATAATTCTTAAACTTTGTGGTACCTACTAAAAACAAAACTGTCATAGTGGTCCTGGGTCAAAAAAAGGTAGGGAACTATTGATTTAAATAAATCGTCTATAGTTTTTAGAGCCTTTTCTGATATACGTATGTAACCTCGAATTTCTTGTAGTCTTTACATAGTCCTTATATGATGATCACCTCATTTTAGCATTAATCGTTATGACAATATCTACATATATATGAGGAACTGTGTGTTGATGTGACCCCGGTTTTGACAGAATTTTTGTTTCTTTTTTATTTAAGTAGTAATTTTGCAGATATTTTTGCTCAGACTTGAGTTAAAAATTATTTGAATGGTGACTAAAATTACAGTGTTAAGACATACCTATGCTATTGTTAAGGCATAAGAGGCTTCAGAGTTTTAATTTCGAATTCTCCTCATAACGCTGCATAATATTTTGATATGACCTAAGATATATTGTATTTCGCTTAAATTAACTGAGCTGAAGTTAGATGATAATGAGACTATATTTGATAGGACCTTTGATTTCTTCCCATTATTTAAATCTTATATTTGAATAATTCTTCATAATTGATATATGGTACCAACTCTATTTTACAGGTTATGAGTTAACTTCATTAAATTAATAGTATTTGTCAGCTCTACTCTTAGTTTTTGGAATGTCAAAAATTTTTATTTTTTAATTCTGTGTAAAATGTTTTTTTATTCTTTAATATTTTTATCATTTCTAATCGAAACTAATTGAATGTTATTATGTATTTACTTTCTAATATATTTTTTTTGAAATTAAGATTAATTTCCTATCTATCAAATTTGGTTTTAAAGACCAACTAGTATAACCTATAAAAATTGTCAAAAAATCAATACTAAAATTACTTTAATTTTAATATTACATTTTAATAATTTAGAATAAAAGTTAATTATTTAAAGTTTGATAAATCGGAATTAAGAAATAAATGCAATATAGATTAATTGATATTGATAGCTAAATTCTTCTAAGATATAATATTTTTTAATATTTTACTTACATCAAATGATTTCGATGTTATGAAGATTAAAATCTACACGACACCTACGTTCGAAAAAAGGCACTGTTTTCAACTATAACTTTCAATAAAATCAAAACGACTGAATATATGAGATCTTTGACTTATCAGTGAAAAAATTTTAAATTTATTTCTATTGGTTGTTAGCGAACCGACCGATAAATACAATATATATGTCTTCTGACAGTTGCAATTACAATATTTTTAATCTTCAAGTATCTGTCAAAATGTTTTTAGTAGAGTTTGGCAGTTTGGTATTTTTATTAAACTTCAATGAAATAATTTTGATTTACACTTGACGTCTACACGAGGTACATTGGTTAATTGTGAGAATTATAAGTCCAAATCTAATCAAAAGTCAACGCACGTTAATCAATACACATAAGGATAGTAAAGTCATTGGAAACGAGAGACTACAAACAACTTACAGTTATTATTACAAAAATCTAGACTTTACGAAATGTAGACTAGTTCTAGTTCTATAAAAAAGCAAGACATGAATTTATAACTTGCCGGTTATATGTAGTATCTAATTAGTGGTCTTGTTATGAACAATATCAAGGTCTCGAGTTACTTAAGAATGGGAAACTTGGGCGATGAAATAAGTATATGAACAAATATATATATATATATATATTTCGACAAATCTATTTACTGCTTGAAATAGATAAAAATTTTCAAGTAGAGAATAAGAATAATAAATTACTGCATATTGAAAATGTTGTAAGAATAATTTAAGCACCCTGTGTGCTTTAAAGGACTGCTTATGTTGTTATAATAAGCCCTGAGAGAATCCTGAAAGGTGTTTCCAATGCTATTCCTATTATAACAAGACAAAGGTCGTCCTAAAAATAGATAAGAAAATAGTATTTTCGAAGTTTTGTTTTCATAAGAATGGAAAATGTTGAAGATACTATCGCGGCGCAAAAGAAATGAAGATATGTCATGTAGGCGTCTAAGGTTAATACAAATCGAAAGGTTAAATATCATTAATATTTTTTATATATATTAAAAAAAATAAATAAAAGAATAAGAAATTTTTTTATATATATATACATTTATTATAATTATTTGGACAAATCACTTATAAAGTTTAGTTTTTCATGTACATAAATCAAATACAAATGTATTTATTATACAAATTAAGACAGATTTTGTGATATATATAAATGTTACAATTATTTTTACAAATGTACCCAACAAAATGCTTTTTTTTTACTTTACTCGTCAGTAATAAGTTAGTAAATTAGTTAAAAACTGTATCATTAAAATAATACTTATGAATAAAGGTGACTAATTAAATTTTACACAATTTTTCTTTACTAAATTGAATTAATTTAAGATGGCAACTTAATTAGTGAAGAAACCACCTTTGATATTAGACAAGTGGTGGAGTTAGTATATATATATATTTAAAATTATTTATAATAATATTTATAACTTGTGACGAAGGTTTTTTCTCCGTTTGTAGAATCTTTGATATGTTCTACCTCAATCAAATCCGTATCCGAAGATGACTCACTTAGTGGGACTTTATATGTCGAAAAACCCTTTTCAATATTGTCAATAAACGATGTATTAATTTGAGAACTGTTTGACGCTTCCGTATCTGAAGAATCATCGCTGCTATCTAGATTATTTAATAGTAAATCATAGATTCTCTTTTGTGATTCATTATGCAGGTCTTTATAAAGACTCTCTCCTGGTTCATATGCATGAGTTTTTTCGTTATTTACGTTGTCAGACAAAGACTTTCCTTCGATAGTTTGCTCATTCCTGTTTTTATAAATTTCATTCAAATTAGTTTCGGTTAAGTCAATTACTTCGGTGGGATCACCTACCAATAAAGAAAAAATTAATAATTAATAAAATAGAATAATATATTCTGATAATTTCTATAGATTTAACGTAAAAATGAAAAATAATTTATATTATTATCTACAACAAATCTTGCAAAATTATGACTATTTTAGGAAAGGGATAATATTATAATTAATTATATCATGTACTCTGCTTGCTATCTAGATCAATTTAATTCTCGGATAATGGGATCCCATTTCCGAAAAGTTGTCATACGCTTGGCTGATCACTCAAACGCTGAAACACAGTATTTATTAGCAGCCTCACTCGTAATATGCTTGGCCCTTAAAAAAAACACTCTGGACGTGACATTATTCAAATATAGAATTAATAACTAATATACAATATTTATTAAAAGGTAAAGGTGATTGCGAGAACGGTTCAGAGTAGTGGTAATTTATTATTTTCTAGTCTATAAGTTTTTAAAAATAATTAAAATTATTAATATTACGTTTTCATCAAAATGTTTATTTATAATCACTCTCTTTACCTAAATCTTCGTCAACTAATGATATAGACTGTATTTCTGTTTGTGACTTGTCAGCCGCCAATTTTGAGCCCCTCTGTATCTTATTGTAATCTATGTAATTTTAAAGCAAATGAAAAAATGTTTTTATCAAAGTTTATATTGACAATTACTCTCTTCACCAAAAATTTCATCAAAGAAAGATATAGGTTGTGCTTTCATTTGTGACTTGTCAGTCGACAATTTTGGACCCGTTTGCGTCTTATTGTAACCTATGTAATTTAAAAGTAAATGAAAATGTGTTTCTATCAAAGTTTTAATTAACAATTACTCTTAGTCTGTTCTCTTATTTGTGACTTGTCAGCAGAAAACTTTGAGTCCGTCTGCATTTTATTGTAACCTATGTAATTTTGAAGAAAATGAAAATGTTTTTATCAAAGCTTTTATTGAGAATTACTCTCTTTACCTAAACTTTTATCAGAGGAACATACAGCCTCTGCTTTTATTTGTGACTTGTCAGCCGGCAATTTTGGACCCGTTTGCATCGTATTGTTATCTATGTAATTTTGAAGTTAATGAAAATATATTATTATCCAAGTTTTCATTGACAATTATTCTCTTTACCAAAAAATTTATCAAAGAAAGATATAGGCTGTGCCTTCATTTGTGACTTGCTAGTCAGCAATTTTTGACCCGTTTGCATCTTATGGTAACCTATGTAATTTTAAAGTAAATGAAAATATGTTTTTATCAAAATTTATATTAACAATTACTCTCTTTACCAAAATTTTTATCATAGGAAGATACAGTCTCTGCTCTTATTTGTGACTTGTCAGCCGGCAATATTGGACCCATTTGCACCTTATTGTGATCTATGTAATTTTAAAGTAAATGAAAATATGTTTCTATCAAAGTTTTAATTAACAATTACTCTCAGTCTGTTCTCTTATTTGTGACTTGTCAGCCGGAAACTTTGAGTCTGTCTGCATCTTAGTGTAACCTATGTAATTTTGAAGTAAATGAAAATATGTTATTATCCAAGTTTCCATTGACAATTACTCTCTTTACCAAAAATTTCATCAAAGAAAGATATAGGCTGTGCTTTCATTTGTGACTTGTCAGTCGACAATTTTGGACCCGTTTGCGTCTTATTGTAACCTATGTAATTTAAAAGTAAATGAAAATGTGTTTCTATCAAAGTTTTAATTAACAATTACTCTTAGTCTGTTCTCTTATTTGTGACTTGTCAGCAGAAAACTTTGAGTCCGTCTGCATTTTATTGTAACCTATGTAATTTTGAAGAAAATGAAAATGTTTTTATCAAAGCTTTTATTGACAATTACTCTCTTTACCTAAACTTTTATCAGAGGAACATATAGCCTCTGCTTTTATTTGTGACTTGTCAGCCGGCAATTTAGGACCCGTTTGCATCGTATTGTGATCTATGTAATTTTGAAGTAAATGAAAATATATTATTATCCAAGTTTTCATTGACAATTATTCTCTTTACCAAAAAATTTATCAAAGAAAGATATAGGCTGTGCCTTCATTTGTGACTTGTTAGTCAGTAATTTTGGACCCGTTTGCGTCTTATGGTAACCTATGTAATTTTACAGTAAATGAAAATATGGTTTTATCAAAATTTATATTGACAATTACTCTCTTTACCAAAATTTTTATCAGAGGAAGATACAGTCTCTGCTTTTATTTGTGACTTGTCAGCCGGCAATATTGGACCCATTTGGATCTTATTGTGATCTATGTAATTTTAAAGTAAATGAAAATATGTTTTTATCAAAGCTTTAATTAACAATTACTCTTAGTCTGTGCTCTTATTTGTAACTTGTCAACCGGAAACTTTGAGTCCGTCTGCATCTTATCGTAACCTATGTAATTTTGAAGTAAATAAAAATATGTTATTATCCAAGTTTTCATTGACAATTACGCTCTTTACCAAAAATTTCATCAAAGAAAGATATAGGTTGTGCTTTCATTTGTGACTTGTCAGTCGACAATTTTGGACCCGTTTGCATCTTATTGTAACCTATATAATTTTAAAGTAAATGAAAATATGTTTTTATCAAAGCTTTTATTGACAATTACTCTCTTTACCAAAATTTTTATCAGAGGAAGATACAGTCTCTGCTCTCATTTGTGACTTGTCAGTCGGCAACTTTGAACCCATTTGCATCTTATTGTGATCTGTGTAATTTTAAAGTAAATGAAAATATGTTTTTATCAAAATTTTAATTAACAATTACTCTTAGTCTGTTCTCTTATTTGTGACTTGTCAGCCGAAAACTTTGAATCCGTCTGCATCTTATCGTAACCTATGCAATTTTGAAGGAAATGAAAATATGTTATTATCCAAGTTTTCATTGACAATTACGCTCTTTACCAAAAATTTCTTCAAAGAAAGACATAGGTTGTGCTTTCATTTGTGATTTGTCAGTCGACAATTTTGGACCCGTTTGCATCTTATTGTAACCTATATAATTTTAAAGTAAATGAAAATATGTTTTTATCAAAGCTTTTATTGACAATTACTCTCTTTACCAAAATTTTTATCAGAGGAAGATACAGTCTCTGCTTTTCTTTGTGACATGTCAGCCGACAATATTGGACCCATTAGCATCTTATTGTGATCTGTGTAATTTTAAAGTAAATGAAAATATGTTTTTATCAAAATTTTAATTAACAATTACTCTTAGTCTGTTCTCTTATTTGTGACTTGTCAGCCGAAAACTTTGAGTCCGTCTGCATCTTATCGTAACCTATGCAATTTTGAAGGAAATGAAAATATGTTATTATCCAAGTTTTCATTGACAATTACGCTCTTTACCAAAAATTTCTTCAAAGAAAGACATAGGTTGTGCTTTCATTTGTGATTTGTCAGTCGACAATTTTGGACCCGTTTGCATCTTATTGTAACCTATATAATTTTAAAGTAAATGAAAATATGTTTTTATCAAAGCTTTTATTGACAATTACTCTCTTTACCAAAATTTTTATCAGAGGAAGATACAGTCTCTGCTTTTCTTTGTGACATGTCAGCCGACAACATTGGACCCATTAGCATCTTATTGTGATCTGTGTAATTTTAAAGTAAATGAAAATATGTTTTTATCAAAATTTTAATTAACAATTACTCTTAGTCTGTTCTCTTATTTGTGACTTGTCAGCCGAAAACTTTGAGTCCGTCTGCATCTTATCGTAACCTATGCAATTTTGAAGGAAATGAAAATATGTTATTATCCAAGTTTTCATTGACAATTACTCTCTTTACCAAAAATTTCATCAAAGAAAGATATAGGTTGTGCTTTCATTTGTGACTTGTCAGTCGGCAATTTTGGACCCGTTTGCATCTTATTGTAACCTATATAATTTTAAAGTAAATGAAAATATGTTTTTATCAAAGCTTTTATTGACAATTACTCTCTTTACCAAAATTTTTATCAGAGGAAGATACAGTCTCTGCTTTTCTTTGTGACATGTCAGCCGACAATATTGGACCCATTAGCATCTTATTGTGATCTGTGTAATTTTAAAGTAAATGAATTTATGTTTTTATTAAAGCTTTTATTGACAATTACTCTCTTTACCTAGACTTTCATCTGAGAAAGATACAGTCTCTGCTCTCATTTGTGACTTGTCAGCCGGCAACTTTGGACCCGTTTGCATCTTATGGTAACCTATGTAATTTTAAAGTAAATGAAAATATGTTTTTATCAAAATTTTAATCAACAATTACTCTTAGTCTGTTCTCTTATTTGTGACTTGTCAGCCGAAAACTTTGAGTCCGTCTGCATCTTATCGTAACCTATGCAATTTTGAAGGAAATGAAAATATGTTATTATCCAAGTTTTCATTGACAATTACTCTCTTTACCAAAAATTTCATCAAAGAAAGATATAGGTTGTGCTTTCATTTGTGACTTGTCAGTCGGCAATTTTGGACCCGTTTGCATCTTATTGTAACCTATGTAATTTTAAAGTAAATGAATATATGTTTTTATCAAAGCTTTTATTGACAATTACTCTCTTTACCTAGACTTTCATCAGAGAAAGATACAGTCTCTGCTCTCATTTGTGACTTGTCAGTCGGCAATTTTGAACCCGTTTGCATCTTATTGTGATCTGTGTAATTTTGAAGGAAATGAAAATATGTTATTATCCAAGTTTATATTGACAATTACTCTCTTTACCAAAAATTTCATCAAAGATAGATACAGTCTGTGCTTTCATTTGTGACTTGTCAGCCAGAAACTTTGAGCCCGTCTGCGTATTATTGCGATCTATGTAATTTTAAAGTAAATGAAAATATGTTATTTTCCAAGTTTTCATTGACAATTATTATCTTTACCAAATAATTTATCAAAGGAAGATATAGACTGTCCTTTAATTTGTGACTTGTCAGGCGGTAATATTGGACCCGTTTGCATCGTATTGTGATCTATGTTATTTTGAAGTAAATGAAAATATGTTATAATCCAAGTTTATATTGACAATTGCTTTCTTTACCCAAACTTTCATCAGAGGAAGATACAGTCTCTGATTTTATTTGTGACTCGTCAGCCGGCAATTTTGGACCCGTTTGCTTCTTATTGTGATCTATGTAATTTTGAAGTAAATAAATATGTGTTTTTATCAAATTTTATATTGACATTTACTTTCTTCACCTAAGCTTTCATCCACCAAAGATGTAATCTTTGCATTTATTTCCGATTTATTAGTCGGCAATTCTAAGTTCGTCTGCATCTTATTGTGATCTATATAATTTTGAGGTAAATGAAATTATGTTTTTATCATAGTTTATATTGACAGTTGCTTTTTATACCCAAACTTTCATCCAACAGAGATATAGACTGTACTTTCATTTGTGACTTGTCAGCCGGCAACTTTAAACCCGTCTGCGTCTTATTGTTATCTGTGTAATTTCGGAGTAAATGAGAATATTTTTTTATATAATATTGTTTTATTATTTAAGTTTTCATAGATAATTACTCTCTTTACCTATAGTCTCGTCAACCAAAGACATATCTGTTTGTGAGTTGTCAACCGATGAAGTGGATGTTACAAACACTAGATAACATAAAAGTTATTAGTTTTTATATTCTATGTTTTGTTTTTTTTATATATATTAGAGTTTTGTGCAAAAAAATAATAAATGTACCATTAAGATTTCCTATACAATTCATTTTTTGAGCATGTTCATTTATTGTATGTTCTATGAAATTGCTGTATTGCGTAAAATATTTTTTGCAGAAAAGACATCCCAGTGTGCACTTTTTGTTCTCATCCAGCAACAAAAAATAGTGCTTTTCCATAAGACTGTAAATTATTTAAGAATAAATAATAAAATATATATATAAATATATTAATAAAGGTCTTACCGGTGAGTTTTTAGAATATCTAAGCTTGTGAAGTGCATGTAACATACATTGCATATTACATAAGTAATTTCTGCGCCAGGGAATCCAAAGGAATAATCTTTTTGATTCTGAATCTTACTATACTGATGATGTTGTATAGCGTGAGCAATTGTATTTGATTTTCTTATGAATGTCATGGGACAAAATTCACATTGATATATTGACCGCACCGAATAGCATTCCGAATTTTTATTAATAAAATCTTCATTTTTCTAAGAAGATCGAATAAATACATTGTTTTAAAAAAAATTATTAATTTTAATTATATTATGAATATATTAGTACCATAATACGTCTCATGTCCCAGTATGTAATCCAATAAATAGCATTTGTGATGCTGCGAAAGTGACCCAAAATGTGCGACTGCACTGTACTAACATTGGCAGGTGAAAACACTACATTGCAAAAGGCACACATTATAACTTTGGTTAAGGGCACGGGCACGTCCTCTGCAGCTAAAAATGAAAAATAATTTAATCAGTCAAGGGGTAAGATTCAGTAATTGTGAGGAGTGATTTAAAAATAATGTAAGAGTGTAAGCAAATGTTCGTAAAATTTCTTAATAAAGATTGTTAAAGACTGTCAAACTGCGAATTTAAACATCGAAATATATAGTATTATTATAAAGACCGATTTCACAATCATAACTTAAGTCTCAATACCTACTTCAGTCAACAACTTTGCTGACTAAGTTCATGCATAAGTCATTTTTGAGGCTGTGAAATTCGCTCTAGAAATCAAATATGAATTTTTAAAAAACAGAAATTTTACAGAAAGTAGCTGAAATATAACGAAATTTCATGTCCTATATATTTCAAAAAATAATTTCAAGATGAGATGATGAGTATTTGAAAATATTCAAAACAGCTATATGGGTAAGCCAAAAATTCAATTAATTAAAATAAAAAAAATCTTTTTTTTTGTTGTTGTAGTTGACTATTTTTCGAAATCTCTCTACCAAAAAATAATTAATCGAATTTAACAGGCCAAAGATTGGCACAACAGAATTTTCAAAATAAATATAAGCACCCCGTATTCCTCTTATTTTTTTAAAAAATCATTGTTCTGGAATGAATTTCCTTTCAATTGGTACCGACTTCTTTTATAATTTAATTAAATTATTTAACATGAAATAATTTAATATGCATTATTGTATCGATAGATAATCTGCAATAGTAGGCATCTAGCCAGAGGGGGATTGAGGGATTAAACCTTTATCCTATTCCCATTTCGGCAAGTGACAAATTATATTCATATAGTCATTATTAATGACAGACTAATAAAAAAAAATATTTTAAATTACAGTTTTGACTCAATATGAACCTGAAAATATTCCTAGTCATAGTTATTCCTAGTTAAATTCTTAAAACTTTGTCAGATCATCAGTACGGATTTTCTTAAAGGTGCACAACAATAACAAATTTGATATATTTAATTATATTTAATACTTTTATTTGTTTTATTTTATTTATTATAGAATTAATTATTAATTATGTAGTCAACAAAAAAACCAATCAAAAATTTAAATATTTTAAAATATTTGGTAATAAGATAAAATTTTTCAGTATGCTTAATAATGACGACATCTGTTAAACTTACTTAAAGTGTTATCTGCATTTACCTTATGAGTTATTTCCAACTCATAAATATCGGTATCAGATCGTTTAGTTAGTGTTGAAATTTCGAATTCTATGAAAGAGTATAGAAAAAAGACAATGTATGTGACTTATTTTATATTCTAAGATCATATATTCCTATATATGTACATATGTAAATTCAATACTTACCATAATTCGCAGGTTGCGACGCTTCAACCCTTTGAAGTTCACACTGTTTAGGTATTTCCTCAACTAATCGTAGGAAATAAAATATTAGAGAAAAATAATTAAAATTTATGCAGTAATTATTTTCTTTTGCAACTACGTACCGTACATTTCGTCTTCAAATGTTTGAGAGATATCTCTAATTTTCCCGTCTTTATCAATGCATGTTTGACATTCTGGAACTATTCAGAAGAACAAAAATAATTATTAAATTATTGATTTTAAGTGTTTAAATTTAATGTAATATATAATTCCTTGAAGTGTGAAGAAGTAGTAATAAATTGCATTTCATTTGGCCTACTTTGAAAGTACAAACTATATTATAATGATTGATTCTGTTATGTATTTTATTTAATGTATATGGAATACTGATTTGTTACTTTTCTTAATTATGTTAAAATATATTTTCTATAAAATTTTTTATTTTTTTGAGAATATTTTTGAAATACATAGTATATAGTAACTATATTCCTTTGCATATACTTACCAGAAATTGCATTAGAAATATCTTCAATCTCCACATGTTCATCAATGGCTGTTTCACATTCTGAAACTGATTTAGTAGAACAAAATTAATTATTGAAATATTGATTTAATGTAATATATAAGTTTTTTTGGAGGTGTGGAGGAGTAGTAATTAAATTTTAACTACAATATGACATATGACTACTAAATTTATCTAAACCTAAAAGAAAACGACGACAATCGACTTAAAAAGTTCTTTGAAGTGGTAATTTTAACTTGGGGTACAGAAAAATGTCTGTTTCCAGCATGAAACTATATGGAGTGAGTATAGTACTTGGTCCATTACATTTCTTGATTTTTTAGTATAAACTTTTGCAAAACGCGATTCTTTTATTGCCGTTTTGCTCACTTTATATATTAAGCACTTATTATATAAATATATAATCCATGGTAATAGAAAAATTACAGAATATATATATTTTTAAGTCATCTAATTATCGAGATAACAATTTTTTGGCGGAAAACAACTTTTTAGTTAACAAAGGCTACTTTCCGTCAAATATATTCATTCTGGTTTATATTCTATCGCACTGCAAACTTCCTCAAAAATAGTCATGATATTCTTAATATTTCAAGCTAGATTCAATATGCTACAAGCCATGGTCATCCAGAATCAATATGGCCACCGAATACTTCTTAAATCTGATAACTAAATTCATATATTTTAAAAATTAACTGTAAGATATCATGTATTCCATAAAGTGATTGGTTTATTTCAATCACTGTATCATTCATATTACTACCTACATGATTTCTAATAGGAAGAATTTCTTATAGACAAGGACTAAATAAACATCAAATATACAATGACGAAATGTATAAATTAACAATACTGGTTTATATATGTTTAATGTTCGAAGCAGAAAATGAATTCCTCAAACGTTTGGTAATTTCGGAAAAAACAATTTCTCTCAGTACAAGGATAGAAAGGAAATATATAATTGAATATAGATTGTATAGATATATAGAGAATATAGATTTACTTACTTCTCGCACTAAGTGATGAGTCCATCAAACCCTCGTTTAAACCTGAAAGACGAATTTCTTTTAGAGTAAAAATCAAAATGAAATATACAGTTAAGTATATACGAAACAACTGATTTACTTACTTTTGATATTATCAGCAGTTGATAAACTACTTTTACGCTTACTTATGCCTGAAAATCGAATTTCTTTTAGAACATCAAAGAATACGGAATGTAGAATTCACTATATAAACAATATTGATTAACTTACGTTTTCTACTGACTAATGGGGATATCACCCTCTTTCGCAAACCTGGATTACGTATCATGTTTGGAACAGGAATAAAAACAAAAAAGGGTTTGAATATCTGAATTAGTTAACACTATTGATG